TGGGATTAGGTATGTACCTGTGAGGTTGGGATTAGTTATGTACCTGTGAGGTTGGGATTAGGTATGTACCTGTGAGGTTGGGATTAGGTATGTACTTGTGAGGTTGGGATTAGGTAAGGGGTCATGGTTAGGCTGTAGTAATTAATGGAAGTCAATGTAAAGTCCACATAGGTATAGATAGACAAGTGCGTGTGTGTGTGTGTGTGTGTGTGTGTGTGTGTTCATCATGTGATGATGAGATGTTCTTGTGGTTATTTGTCTGATTGTTCAACTGTGTATTTGTGTGTGTGTCCATGTTTGTGTGCGTACATCATGTGATGACGTGATGTTCTTGTGGGTTTTTTTCCTCTCATTTCTTCAGTCAGCAGCTTCAGCCTCTCAGAGAAACTTGGTGAGTTTTTTTTATCATTTTAAATTCAATTTATTAATCAGAGCTGATTAAATTTAACTGCAGTTGATCTCAGAACAGTTCATGTAAAAAATCATAGATGCGTAGAAAACTGAATTGTTTCCTCCGAGGCGTAAAAAACTGGTTTTTGTGAAGAATTATTGATTAGAAAGCTCCTGATAAAAAGAAAAGATTTAGTTTGGATTTCCAGCTGATCTTTGAGACGTCTGCAGGGTGTGGTCACTATCTGAGAAAACATTTTAAATCTTTCCATTAATACGCTATAAACTGATTAAACTGAATAACTTGTTTTTAAACATCTGCAGGTATTTTCTCTTTTTAATGAGGATTATAAGTGTTTTGGATCCTAAATAAATTCTAAATCATTAAACAAAAATCTATAAATAATCTAATCGGAGCAGAAGAATCAGGTTTTTATCTGCAGGGAAAACTTGAACGTATAAAGTACTTACATATATACAGTACTTGAACAGTACAATGTACTGTATACATTGATGTATACAGTACTTAGATGTGTACAGTACTTGGATGTATATAGTACTTAATGTATACAGTACTTACATATAAACAGTACCTAGATGTATGTAAATCTACAGAAAATTTTGTTGTTTCAGCTGCTTTTTGTTTGTTAAACTAGAAGAACATTTAATGTAGTGATACTTGTCCATCCATCATCCATCCATCCATCCATCCATCCATCCATCCATCCATCCATCCATC